AGAAGGGAGTGATTGATTCTCCATTTAATTTTACAGCCTGCCTCTGAGAAAGCAAAAGATGGCCGTGATACGTGTGAGTATTTTTCTCCTTTCATTTTTTTTTTTTTTTTTTTTGCTAAGAGTCAGCTAACTCATGGCAGCCAGATTATGTGAGGTTGCATAAAAAGTTCGCAGCCAAGTTGGGAGACCTCAGTTTCCCATGTGTTACCTTTGAAAGGTCCTTTAACCACCTTTGTATATTTTTGTCCTGTCACCTACAAAATGGATAATGATAAAACCTTGTTTTTCTTTCTCATAGGTCAATTGTTGTGGTCAGGTAGAAAATTTCAAAGTCCTAAACATACATATTAAGATGATATTTTAAAAGTGAGATTACAGAAGAATGAAATACTGCCATCACCTTGGCTTTACTGAGTGCTCTATACTATTTCTACATACTTTGACATATAAGTCATTAAATTTCAGCATCCCGATGAAGGGTTATTTTATTTATTTATATATTTATTTTTAAAAGACTTTTATTGGGGAACTGGAGGAGGGGAATTGGGGAAGGTGCTCTTCCCAGGTGAGGCAGTCACTCACCGGCCATTGGATGGCCGCTCACTGCAGCTCACAGCAGCTCGCGCTAGCTGCTGGCCAGCCTCACTGCAGCCTGCACCATCGCCGGTGACTCATGGCAGCCCAGCTCCAGGTCGAGCTGTTGTTCACCATCTTAGCTGTAGAGGGTGCAGCGTCACTGGCCCTAATGTGGAATCCGAACTGGGGCTCTGCTGCCCAGAGCTAGCGTCCCAAGCCAACTCGTAACCAATGCGCCACTCGGCTGGTCCCCGATGAAGGGTTATTATCTCATTTTTTTCAGGGGAGATAATGATCACCTGTGAGTTTGATGAAGACCCTCTGAAAGCATTGGATTGAAATGTGTTTTGATAACAATTTGTATTATTTGTGTATTTCAGCTCTTGGGACGCCGAAAGAATCTGAGAATGCCCTTCCCATCCAAGTAGATTATGATGCCTATGATGCTCAAGTGTTCAGGCTGCCAGGCCCATCCCGGGCTCAGCGCCTCGCCACCTGCAGGTTTCCTTCCAGATTCACTTTGGGGTGGATATAAAAGTTGCTTAAGGAAAACCTGAGGTCATGAGAGCAACCTTGAAAATGTTTTCAATTAAAATTAGCCAGGGCCGGCTGAGTGGCTCAGTGAGTGCGAGCTCTGAGCAACAGCGGTTTGAGTCCTGGTCCGAGCTGAGCTGCCGCTGAGCTGCCAACAGGTGACAGGATGGCTCAGCTAAAAAAAAATTTAAAAATAAAATTAACCAAATGGAAGCCATACCATATAGATCATTAGAGGTTCTGTTCTTGAGTTCTGTGGACCAGCCATTTTGTTAGCTATGTTTGCTATGAAGTATTGTCTTCAAATAAGGAGAGCGCTCTGCTTTTTCCAGCCAAGAGAAGCAATTCACAGTTTCTGGAATCTTCTCGCTGGGCTGTCACTAATATATATAGGTCCTAGGGCCCAGAGTTCCTTTTGGATTTATTATTCCCAAAGGGCAAGACACTTTTTTTTCCTTTCATTCCTGCTTGTTAGATTTGCTCCGTGGTGCTTTGGTCATATAGTAATTGTGACACAGCCAGATTTACCAGTATATTCATTTGTGGGTCTTGTGTAAGAAAGCTCTACCCCAAGGTTAGAAATATGCATTTTATATTTTCTTTTAATACTTTATAGTCTTGGATGTTGTGCTTAGTTCCTTACGTAGAAGTTTGTTATTAATGTGTGAAACAGCTCTAGCTTATTTTTTTCCTAGTTGACCAAATTTACTAGATTTCTTAAATATGCAAGTTTATTTAAGCACAACTGATTGAAACAGTATTCTGTCTCTTCACATTGTGACAAATGAGCTTGTAGTGGCTATGTGATTATCTTCTGTCCTTTTCCCTCATCCCATCCTAATGTCTCATCCTGACACATGTTTGGAATATTTGGAGCTCAGAATAAGTACTGTTAACAGCAACTCCTGTACACAGACTGCTTAGGGGCTCAGTAGTGCTGATCTTAAAATGCTTTCATAGTCCAAGATCCTTTTCATTTTTCTAATCAAAGATGACAAGACCTGGTGTTTGAGACACCCAGGTTGTGTGTCCTTGAGGGCCCAGACCATGTCTCAGTCAGTGCTTTGTCCCCAGGGCAGGGTTGAGCATATACTGTGCTCAGATATTTACTGTTGAGACAGTGAATGTGTATTCAGCCCTGGGGATCTATTTTCAGGCCCTATTTAAGCTTTTACTTAAAACAAACTTTTTCCAGGTGGAAAGAGAACATCTCTGTCAGAAGGGCAACCTTGTCAATGGTTGCTCTTTCATTCTGGATTTTTCCTACCCATTGAGCTTTTCTCCTTCTGATCCTTCTTCCTACTGCTTCCAGAGGCTTTCCCCTGACGGAGTTTGATATTTTAATCAGGGTGTACTCTTTTTTAAACTTTTATTAAGGAAATGTTCAAGCATATTCAAATAGAGAGAAATTTTTATTTTTTTAAGATATTTTTATTATTAGCTTTAGGTGTACAAAAACAGCCTAGTGATTAGACATTTACATACCTCACAAAGTGATAACCCCATTAAGTCTAGTACCCATCTGACACCATACATGGCTATTACAATACCATTGACTACATTCTCTATGCTGTACTTCATATCTTGTGACTATGCATATGTTTTAAAATTATCGTTGACATTCAGTATTATATTAGTTTTAGGTGTATAGTGTAATGGTTAGGCATTTATATAATTTATGAAGTGATCCCCCCGATAAGTCTAGTACCCATCTGATACTATGCATAGTTTAAAAAATATTATTGATTATATTTCCCATACTGTATTTCACATCCCCATGACTATTTTGTAACTACCAGTTCGTACTTACTAATCCCTTCACCTTTCCCACCCATCCCCAACCCCCTCCCATCTAACAACCATCAGTTTTTTCTTTGTACCTATGAGTGTATTTCTGTTTTGTTTGTTCATTTATTCTGTTCTTTAGATTCCATATATAAGTGAGCTCCTATAGTATTTGTCTTTCTCAGTCTGACTTATTTCATTTAGTATAATACCCTCTAGGTCCATCTATATTGTTGCAAATGGTAAGATTTCATTCTTTTTTTTATGGCAGAGTAATACTCCGTTGTATATATGTACCGCCTCTTCTTTATCCAGTCATGTGTTAATGGACATTTTGGTCGTTTCCATGTCTTGGCTATTGTGAATAGAGCTGCAGTATACATAAGGGTGCATATATCTTTCAAATTAGTGTTTTGGATTTCTTTGGATAAATACCCAGAAGTGAAATTGCTGGGTCATAAGATAGTTCTATTTTTAATTTTCTGAGGAACCTTCATACTACTTTCCATAGTGGCTGCACCAATTTGCAATCCCACCAACAGTGCAACGAGGGCTCCCTTTTCTCCACATCTTTGCTAATACTTGTTGTTTGTTGATACATTGATGATGGCCATTCTGACAGATGTGAGGTGATATCTCATTGTGTTTTTTATTTGCGCTTCTCTGATGATTAGTGACGTTGAACATTTTTCATGTGTTCATTGGCCATCTGTATGTCCTCGTCTCTAACAAATAAGAATTTTTTTAAAAAAACATTATCACATTACCCTATTATTGGTAACAAAATTAACATTAATTCCTTAATATCTTCTGATAGCTAGTCCATATTCAGATTTCCCAATTGTTTCAAAAATGTGTTTTTACAGTTGTTTTGTTTGAACTGGGATCTAAAGAAGATCCTTTTGTTGTATTTGGTTGTAATGTCTTTTTTCTATGACTGTAGAGTGTCTTGCTTTCTTCATTTGACTGATTGTTTCCTTATAAAGTTTAACTTTTCTACTCTCTGAATTTCCTGTAAACAGGCAATTCTCTAGAGGTTTGATTAGATTTAGGTTCAGTTGTTGGTATCGAAAGACTCTTCAGGTGGCACTTTGTACTTCCTCTTGCATCACGTCATAGCATGTGAGGTTACCTCATTTTCAATGACATGAGATTTATCGGTGGCATCAAACCAGAGCAATCATTTCTTCACAGCTATGATCCCAGGACTTCAGCCATTTGAGAACTGTCCGTCATTTCACCCCTTTCGTAGAAACTGCTCAGGGCAAAGTACCTCCCTCGTATATTATCTCCCACTCATAGATCTTGTTGGGGACTTTTGTTAATTGGTTTCTCAAGTAGCTTAGGCTGGTGACGGGGTTTTATAGTTTTGACTATAGGTAGGGCAGTGTCCCTTACTTGGTGGTAACTTGTCCCTCTCCGGTCAGGTCTGTGCGAGAACGGGAGAGTCACAGTCGAAAGAGTGCCAGCTCCTGTGACGTCTCCTCCAGCCCTTCCATTCCCGGTCGTGCACTGCCCGCTGAGGAAGTGAGGAGCCAGGCTTCTGATGACAGCTCCCTGGGCAGAAGCGCCAACATCCTGATGATCCCACACCCCCACTTGCACCAGTATGAAGTCAGCAGCTCCTTGGGCTACACCAGCACTCGAGGTCAGAGCTGAAGCATGGGCAGAGCTGGGCAGAGTAGGGCACAACTTACTTCCTATAGTAAGGGATGGGGGTGTGTGGCCAGGTGTGGGGTGTAAGTCCCACATTTTAATTATTTCCATGCCAGTGTAATGAATACAAATCGCCTTAGCTGTATGTATGTGTGTATTATACTAGCTTTGTCTGTACCCTTTCTTCCCCTGTCACTAGAACTATTGTATATACCTTTCCATATGTTAATGTAGAGCTTTTCTGGGGCCTGAGGTCAAAGGTGTTTGCTTATTTCCTTATCATTTCCATTCGTGCTATACTGAAAACAACCTCTGTCCTATATTCCACTTTAAGGTTTCTCCTTGAGTTACCTGTTAACCTGGCTTGCACTAAAGAGCACAGGTGCTGCTTTTCCTGTGTCTTATCTTTCCCATCCAGCAGCACCTAAAGCTAGATTGTACAGGTCCCTCCTAACTTTTTAAGCATTTAAAAAAAATAATAATTATGGATATATGGGAAATTGTAAAAAAATATACAGGGAGGTCCTTGTACCTTTCACTCATTTTCCCAGTGGTGACATCCTGCATAACTCTAGTACAATATCAAAACCAGGAAAATGACATGGGTAAAATCCACAGAGCTTATTCAGGCTTCATCAGTTTACATGCAGTTGTGTGTGTGTGTGTGTGTGTGTGTGTGTGTGTGTGTGTGTGTGCGCGCGCGCGCGCGTGTGCATGTGCATGCAGTTTTATCACGTGTGTAGATTTCTGTAGCTACTACCACAGTTAAAATCCAGAATTATTTCATCACAGCAAAGCTCCCTCATGCTCCTCCTTTATAGCCACACTCCCCCACTAATTACTCCTCCATAATTTCGTTATTTCAAGAATGTTATCTAAATGGAAGCATAGCCCTCCTGACTTAATCACTGACTTAGGAATGTTGTGTACGCACAGCTGTCTCCTGTTACCCGGGAAGGATTCCCAAAGGGCACGGAGTATTTTCTGTGACCCAGCATGTTGAAGGGGAAAATGGGCAGGCCTCAGGACAGGAAAAGGGCACTTTCATCCATTAGGTACCATACACACTGGGCCAAGGACGTAGGAAAATTTTTGACTGAGAAAATGTTTTTTTGTTTTGTTTTTTTAATGGTTCAAGGTACAGAAAGGACATTTTGAAAGAGAAAGGAATAGATATTTAATTACATAACTATAGTAAACCATCTATGTTACTTAGACTAGAGTTAGTATTCAAAAGAATTTTAATACATTCTGGAATTTCTAGGTTAGCTTTTCCCCACCTTCTGGGAATTTCAAAGTTTACATGACGGTTACTCTCATTTTGCTGAGAATATTCTTAGAAGGGTCTGTCTCAAAAGCTAAATTAAACTAAACAATCCTTTAAAAGTCTTTAAAAGCCAGATCTCTGCGGAGATAATGTTGCTCTTCATCCAAGTTGCTTTGAAAACAGTTTTCTTAAAAATCATCTGAATAGTAGAGTTGATTTCAGTGCCCTTTAGTGATATTTGGGAGTTTATTAGAAAAGCCAATAAGCAATTCACTGGAATATTGTAAGGCAATAACATCTACAGGCCTTTAGTTTCCTGTTTGTTTAGGGATTCTCACCCATCTACCCACTCAGTGTAACATAGGAAACATTTCTCCTTTCCTCTATACATATTTTTGACCCACTTTATTGCTTAGTCCTGTTTTTCATCCTTTTCAAAATATGTACTCAAATATTTTAATTGGGTTTTCTCCTTTTATTTCCATGATAATAAACTAGACCACATTCTTTTTTATTTGGTAAACCAGAGCATCAATTCATTAATTTACAATGAAAAATACAGCTTTTTAAAAAGATTTTATTGGGGAATCGGGGGAGGGGAACAGACAAGTTGCTGTCCTTTTGTTCTTCAGTCTAGTTGTGGAGGACGTAGCTTCACTGGCCCATGTTGGTATTATCATTGCGCTCTTCCTGGGTGAGGCAGATTGGTCGCCAGCCACTGGATGGCCACTCACGGCAGTTCTTGGCAGCTCAAGCCAGCTGCTGGCCGCTCACGCTGGCTGCCAGCCTTTCATGGTAGCTTACGGCAGCCCACTGCAGCTCCACTGCAGCCTATGGCAGCCCAGCTCCAGGTCAGGCTGTTGTTTACCATCTTAGCTGTAGAAGGCACAGCCTCACTGGCCCTAATGTGGGATCCGAACCGGGGCTCTGCTGCTCAGAGCTGACGTCCCAAGCTAACTCTTAACCAATGTGCCACTCAGCTGGCCTGAAAAATACAGCTTTCATGGAGATGTGAATGTTCTCTTCTTGCATGTAAATCAGCTTGAGGAATTAAATATTACCATATATCATGCTCTTTGTTGAATAGATAATGGTGGACAAGACAGAGTCCTTGATGCCATGGAATTTGCATCTACTGGACCCACAACCTAAGTGGTAGCTTAGTGAACATGTGATGTACACAGGGGAGTTGATTTGGGATTTCAGCTCTTTGATCCACTCAGGTTAGCAGGCTGCCTCCACCTCCATAATATGAACCTGTTTGCCATTGTACAGGGCAGGTCAAGTCTAAATACCATGTCTTCTCTGTACCTGGTCAAGGCTGGTGACATCCATTTCTTAATCCTTTTCTCCCAGGATTTTTTTTTTTTTTTAACACAAAGACATTTGATTGGCATAGTGGCCTGGAACATAAGTAAGCAGTTGGAGGGGTTTCTAATCTACTGGTCATTCAGGGTCACAGGCTTCTTTCATTCTGGGATGCCATGATCATCAACACTGGTCTCCAAATCACAGCAGGGGAAAAGAGAATGGAGATCATATGCGGAGATATTTGTGATCTAGGTCTTCATTTGGAGCATGTCATTTCACCTGTTCACCTGTGTTCCATTGGCTGGAGGTGGCTGGAGGTGGCGCCAGTGCAAAGGGGCTGGAAACTAGTGTGTGTGTGTGTGTGTGTGTGTGTGTGTGTGTGTGTGTGTAAAATCAAACAAGTTTAGCAAACACATGGACTATCTCTGCCAGGGTCGTGTGTGTGTGTGTGTGTGTGTGTGTGTGTGTGTGTGTGTGTAAAATCAAACAGGTTTAGCAAACACATGGACTATCTCTGCCAGGGTCTGCCCTCTGGTCACAAATATACTATATTTTTAGCATCCCTTCCACATGCAGAATATACCCACCCCATCTCGAAGTGAGGCAACTCAAATCCTACCATTCACTTGTGTTACCTAGGTTAAAGTCCAGGGTCTGTATTTGCTATGTTGTCCTCCTCATTAGGTTTGGGTGTGGCTTCACTGGCCAGTAGTTTGGGAACCAGAACTCCCTTCTCCTAAATATTTAAAAAATAAACAAACCTAATATTTCATTTCTTTCAGTTTGGCGATTTTACTTATTTTCCTCATTGCCTAACATGTATGATGTCCAAGGTTCTCGTCAGCCTTGGCCGATCGGTCTGCCTGGTTCAAGTTTCATTGTGTCTCTGTGCTCTCTCTTCGTGCCTCAACTCTATGATAACTGGCAGACATCCTGGAGAACATGATGGAGCCACCGCAACGAGACTCCAGCGCACCGGGGAGGTTCCACGTAGGCAGCGCCGAGTCCATGCTGCATGTTCGACCTGGGGGATACACACCCCAGCGGGCACTCATCAACCCCTTTGCCCCCTCCCGAATGCCCATGAAGCTCACGTCTAACAGAAGGCGCTGGATGCACACTTTTCCTGTGGGTAAGTCGGTGGCTCAGGAAAGAGTCCGGGAGTAGGAGCTCCCAGGCCTGGTCCTCAGCACTAATCAACCAAATGGCCTTGGTCAAGTGTCTAAACTTCTCTGTATCTCCCGTGCCCCGCCTATGAGGTGGGGATAACCATGCCCACTACCTCACAAGTGGTCCTTGTGAGGGCCCTGAGGGCACATTTGGGAATAGGCTTTGTAATTGTAATTATCTGTATCAACTAATGAGGGCTTCCGTTTTTCTATTTGAAAAAGATTGTGCTCTACCAACTGCTTTCTTTCCTAAGACTGATGTCTTTCCTTCTTGTTCATTCCTTCCTCTCTGGGCTCTGGATATTGATATTACTGTTTTGGTTACACAGGTATGTTCCTTTGTTCTTCCTTAGGGGTCTCTGACAACTGAAAAAAAATTTTTTTGCCTCCAAATTCACTGTATTTCCTAGCCTGACCTTTTTGATCTGTATTCTGGCCAAAAAATGACAGTAAGGTTTTATAAAGCTATGGCTAAAATTAAACTTCAACTTAATGGGCTCTTACTGGGATGGGAAGGAACAGATGCATTAAACTCCAGGGTATTTTCATGGAAGCCATCCTGTTGAATGCTTAGAAATGTCTAGTTATTATTTTTTGTGCTTGCTTTTAGTGTGATAAGTGAGTAAGCAGTGAACCTGGTTCTTTTGGCTGTAATTGGGGGGTCATTCCCAAACCACTCCCATCTGTGCCATAATCAGTTACACAAATTGTTTCTTTCTGGTGTCTCTCTCTTTCTGTTGTTGTTCCTGCTGGCTCTCTTCAAGTTCTCTTACAAGAACTCTTGATATTTCTTCCAATACCCTCAGCTCTTCTTGCTTTTGTGCTTTTCCTCCCAATGCAATTTTGTGCTTTTTCAACTTCTTTACTAAAACAATATTCTCCAAACCTGCATCCTCCTGCCCACCTGGCCCTCTGATTGCTGAGGCCCTCTTTTGCCAGGCTTCCCAGTGTTCTGTCTCCTCACTTCCATCCTCAGAGGTTCTTTTCTTTCCCAAGCTAATCTGGTCTCCTGCACCCATCTTGCCTCTTCCACATTTGGGGTTTCACACAGATCGTTTCTTCTACCCAGATATTCTCCCCTTTAGGGCCTGCTAACTTTGTTTAACACTCAGCTCTGACACTTCTTTCTCCAGGAAGCAATTAGACTTGACTAATTCTGATTTATCTCCTACTCAATGTCTTTTTTGTACCTTTGCAGCCTCTGCTTCAAAGAGTCACAGTTGTTGTTATCTTATGTTTGAACAGAGTCATTGATGTTTCCCTTGTGTGTTCCTTTTTATTTAGTTTGTGTTAACTTTCCTGGGAAGGGTCCTTGTCTCCTATATGTCTGTATTTCCCTATGGCGTCTCAGTTGACATGCATGAGACAGAGGCTTTTAAATATTCTCAGGCTGAACAGGATGATGAACATGAGGCCCCACAGGAGGAAGAGTCCTGCTCAGAAGAGGAGATGTCCCGTGTGGGAGTCAGAGGGTCGTGTGTATAACGTTCCTCTGTGTGTGTGGACTGTGGGGTGCTCTCTCAGCCTCTCTAACACCTGTATCCCAGCAGCTGGAAAGGAGGGAGATTGAAGCTAAGTGCACAGAACTAGCTATCGGGTGGGCATGATGCTCAGTGGATCTTTATCTGGGTAGGACCATCCGGAGAGGCCATCCAGATCCACCATCAGACCCGACAGAATATGGCGGAGCTGCAGGGCAGCGGGCAGAGAGATTCAACTCACTCCTCTGCAGAGCTGCTGGAGTTAGCATATCATGAAGCTGCTGGAAGGTGAGAATGTGTACAGGGTTCTGGATGGTACTTTGAGAACACTGTCCGGCACCCAGGATAATGTGCAGAACAGACCGCTGACAAATGTCATGTTTGCAAGACTCGCAGAGACAGGATGAGATCAAGGCCTTCCTTTGTCAGTCAGCATGAATCCCTTAACTGGGCCAAGTGCAAAGCAAACAGCCTGACATTTTTGCCAGAGATGCTAAACCTATGCCCTGCTTTAGCTTTAGGTTTAATTTAAAGCATGCTTTGTAAATTTCAAACATGAATGTTTTTTAATCCTCAGTCAAGGGTGAAAACAGGTGCTGAGATAGGTGATTCATGCTGTGTGTTTTTTTTTTCAGTTAGGTTATGACTTTTGTCATTTTGGCCGTTGAGAAATTCCACTGTTGAGTTTAGAAGTTAATGCTAAAAGCAATGGAAATCAAGGCCTGTGTTTATAGAAACAACTTTTTGAACCAGAGTTCTCAATGTGATACAAGGCATCCCAAGAGAGTCAGTGTGGGAAGAGAGTCATTTAATCCTTGACAAGCATGAGCCCAGGTGACACCTAGACTCACTGTGATGCTTTAGGAAATGCTTTGCAAAGAGCAGTCTTTGGCCCCTTTGCACCCATCTCAACATCCAATGGGTTGAATGAGGGCTACAGACAGGGCATGACCATCTTTACCAGATTAACTTGATACCTCTTTTCAAACACCTCATATTCTCCTGTCAGTGTTAGCAGGAGGAGGCTTAAGACAGAAAGGGCAGGCGGTCTAGCGTGGCAGTGGCAGCTAAGGTGCTAGGGCAGGAGAAGCCCATCACAAAAGTCCAGAGGTGGCACACAAACCGAGCGCGGCAGCCTGGTGGCCTGTGATGTGGATCCCAGTGGTTGCCAGCCTATGTGGCCGAATATTCAGGCCTGTTTTTGATTAAAACCCCTGGGACACAGGGTGTTCAGGATAGAAGAGGTGATGATGTGCATTAAGCGAGGTGGCTGGGCTCTGTTCTCTGCAGGCACAGCACCTCCCGCCAGCCTGGTGACGGCATGTCCTTCTTGAACTTCAGCGGAATTGAAGAACTTTCTGTCCACCCGCTTAGCAACAGTGGTGCAGGTAACCAGTCCAAGAGGTAACAGAGTTGGGATGACCAGAGCAGGCTTACATCTAAAAATGACACGGGGACCAAAAAAGCAGGGCCCCGTCTATTTTGGGATCATTTCAGCCACAATTTTCAGTGACCTATTTAGAAGCAGTGCTTTATAATGCATGGCATTATAAATGGGCCGCACATTACATTTTTAGCTGAGAATATGTTGGTCAAGCCACATTTATCATCAGTGTGTCAAGGAGTCGTGATTGAGGGCGGTTTATGAGCTTGGTGTTGAGGGCAGCACCAGGGCCAGAGCAGGAGTGGTTTCTGCTCTAGAAGAGCTTTCAACTGTGTGCGAGGGGGGGCAGACCCACCCCCATGAAAACAATCAGGAGAGGCCCAGAGGGAAACAGTGTGGTTGGTTCTTTGACCTCTTATTGCTTTGCATAGACTAGTCCCTCTGTATAGAATATGCTCTTTCCCTGTCTTCACTCCTTGGCTCTCCCTGGGAAATGGCAGCTCAGTCTTTATAAATCAGCTCCAACAGTAACTCCTCTTTGAAGCCCTCCTTGGTGCTTCTCACTTCTGAAGCCCTCCAGGAGATGTTAGGCATGTTTCCATAGTTTCACATGCATAAGCCAATTGTACCACCACTTGGTACGTCGTGGTCCCACTGTTTGTTTCCATGTTTGTCTCTCCACTAGACTGAAAGAGCTTAGCACATTTATTGACAGATGAACCTATACTTCCAAGGTCCAGTTGCCGTACGTGAGAAGCATTTGAGTGATCCACAAAATTAAGCTAATTGGTGTGCGGTTGTTCAGTTACATAAATATGTGCTAGAATGTTTAGCTTCTTACAGAAGGGGTGGGCACCTTAGAGTCTTTTTCTAGTTATGACGATATAGTTAAATAGGGTCATCCTTACCCTGTTCCTTTATGACCAGTAGCATGTGTTTTCTTTGTTTTTAAATTTAATTTATTAGTAGTAGCATGTGTTTCCCAGAGGTCATCTGGAGGTGGTCCATAACATTGGTCTCACATGGGAATTGAACTCCCATCTTGTGCTTTCTGATCAATTATGTTAGCTAGCTACAGAAAGAAATTAGATAAAATCATTCTCATCTTTGTTACCATATGCAATAACCAGTTAATGTCAGATTTACCTTCAGGACATATCCAGAATCTTAACCGTATCTCATCACCTCCACTAGTCCTAGTCCAGTACAAGATACCATCTTTTGCTTCGATTGTCTCAGTAGCCTGCTGACTGGTCTCTCAGCTTCCTCCCTTTGCCCTTCCATATAGTTTATTTTCAGCACAGCAATTCAGAGTCACCCTTCAAAAACAGAAGTCAGATCATGAAACATCTGCACAAAACCCTCCGAGGGCTTCCCAGCACACTCGTAGTAAAAGCCAAAGGCATTGCAGTAGCCAACAGAGGCCCCTGCATCCTGTGGCCCTCTGTCACTCTCAGACCTCGTCTCCTGCTTTCCCCTCTTCACTCTTGTGATTCCCCAAATACATCAGGCACATCTGAATCTTGGATCCTTTCTCTTGCACTCCCCTCTGCTGTGCCCTTATACCAGAGAGCTTCATGGCTGAGGTCCGCATGTCTGAGTTTGCCCAGGACAGTCCTGGTTTGAATTTATTGTCCTATATGATTATTAACAGTGTCCCCTTTCACTCTCAAAGGTGTCCTGGGTTGGATAATAAATTACATGACCACCCTACCCACAGCTTGCTCCCTTTCTTCAGGTCTTTCCTGAATTACCACTGTCTACCCGGGCACTCATCTTCTTACCTGTCCTCCCTCCCTAGTGTTTCTGCACAGTACCACCTGACATAGCAGATCTTTTAATTTTGTTATATATTTTTATTATAGGGTCCATTAGTACAAGGATTTTTTGTTCTTGTTCATGGCTGTATCTCCAGAGATTAAAACAGTTCCTGGCACATATCAGGTTGTTGTGTGAAATGCTAAAAGCCTTCTGAGGTTAGCCTTTTCTTTACTGAAGAATGTCTTTCTTCATTCTCTGATAACCTTGTTGAAAAATTAACTGGATTTCTTTCCTCAAAGAATCGGGCAGCCTTTTTCTGCCTTGCTTGGTTTTCAATTGACTTTACAGTAATACCTTGGTTTGTGAGCATAATGCATTCCGGTAACAAACAACTCATATTGCAAGGCATTGCTCGTTTACCAAATTAAAATGTATTAGAGATGTTTGCTTGTCTTGCAGAACACTCGCAAACCAAATTACTCTCAATCCAAGGTTTTACTCTACTTTCAAGCCATCCTCAATTCTCATGGAATATGGTTTGCTTTCTTCATACTCACTAAACTCTTATCCATTCCAGAAGTGTTTCTTGGACTCTAGGCACTGTGCTAAGGCCCGAGAAGAAACAAAATGATTAAGACACCAGTTCTCCTCACCTTAGGGCAGTGGTTCTCAACCTGTGGGTTGCGACCCCTTTAGGGGTCGAACGACCCTTTCACAGGGGTCGCCTAAGACCATCGGAAAACAAAAAGATATTTACATTACGATTCATAACAGTAGCAAAATTACAGTTATAGAGTAGCAACGAAAATAATTTTATGGTTGGGGGTCACCACAACATGAGGAACTGTATTAAGGGGTCGTGGCATTAGGAAGGTTGAGAACCGCTGCCTTAGGGAGCTCTGGCTTGTCATTCACTTGGGATTCTATTTGAAGCAGTTCCATGTGTGTGTGTGTGTGGGGTAACCGTGAAAGGAAAGCCATCTCACAGGGAGCTGGTCTGTGAGTGGTTCCAGTGATACCGTGTGGTTTGAACATGTGAGCTAAGTTATGACTGGTGGATGAGGGAGCGTGCCATGATGAAAACGGTGAGAACAAAGGACCCAGCCCTGCTCCTCTTGCCTTTGGAGTTTAGCCTTCAGCCTTTGCTGAGCCTTAGGTTCTTCATCTGTACAATGGGCATAAAGATCTTCACCTGCCTGCCTCACAGAGTTTTAAGGATCAAGAGTAGATCTGGTTCCTTAAGGGCAAAATGTCATATTGGGTCCTTGTTTGGGGACAAGGTGGGGTCTAAACAAACAACTAGCTATCATTTCATTCATTGAAAGAAATAGAAAAGAAACAGGAAGACCTTATCTGTGACCCCACCCATACCTCCTGGGCTTGACAGCTTGCACCATCTGCAGGCACTGAAGCATGACTCACATTTTCTCCTGCATTTGGAGTTGATTCCTATGCGAGTCACGATTCACAGGACTGGTGTCTCTGTGGGTTCCTGTCCTGGCCTCATCCAAGTTCATTTTGAGCACTGTTAGCTGGGGCCTCACACCTGTACTATTCGCTTGTTTTTCACATGCTGCCTAGCAGGGACCAGGTAGCTGGTGGGACGAGGCAGATAGTTTTTATCCCTCTGTTTCTTTAACTGGGCACCAGTTTAAAAGACTTGTGAGTCAGTGTCCTTCCCTTCCTTGGGGTAAGTGCTCTAGAGAATTTTGAAAAAGAAAATAGGTGGTGCCACATATTCTTTCTCCGGTATTAGGACTCAGAATCTGCAACTCAGTGTTTCTATTGAGCATTAGATCCACGCAACAGATTTGACCTGAGAACTGACTGAAGTAAAAAATAAGTCAGCACACCGAGGCCAGGAGAAAGGGCCTCAGAGTCCCTTATCCAGGCCAGGTTGGGTTTTTTTATGCTATGCAAGCACCATCTCTGTAATGCAGAGGAGAAATGACTTGCCCGAGGCACAGGCTTGTAGCTGTCCCCAGGAATCAACCTCGAAGGCCCCACACTGATTACTCTTTTCTGGCCTAAGGTTAACAAGCAGAAAACACATTCAGACTTCTTGACTCTGAGCAGATATCAGAAAAGACAGAACTGAGATGACTGTTCTTAGCTTTGGCTCCCCAAGTTGTATGTCTGGCTTTGAACTTTGCCAGATTGGAGTATAGCTGACTGACCAGGAGGTCTCACCTCTGTCCTCTCAGGTTGTTGGGGCTCTTCACATGCTATCATCTGACTGAAAATAAGCTTCAGGGGGCCAGCCAAGTGGCTCAGTTGGTTAAGAGTTAGCTTAAGAGCATGAGCTCTGAGCAACAGGGCCACCGGTTTGATTCCCACATGGGCCAGTGACGCTGCGCCCGAGCTGCGCTGTCGCTGAGCTACCAACAGGTGGCAGGATGGCTCAGTTGGTGTAACAACAAGATTGCCTGTTTGATGGTGGGCTATGCCCACCCGCAACTAAGACTGAACTTGGCACCTTGAGCTGAGTTGCCACCCGGATGGCTCAGTGGATAGGGCATGCGCTCTTAACAACAAGGCTGCCGGGTTCAACTCCCACATGGGATGGTGGCTATGCCCACCCGCAACTTAGATTGAACACAACACTTTGAACTTAGAGGCCACGAGCTGCCAATAGGAAGCCAGATGGCGACATGCGCCCTCCATAACTAAGACTGAAGAACAACAACTTGGCTGGTCCCCTTCCCCAATTCCCCAACTCTGTTTCCCTCCTGCAATTCCCCAATAAAATCTTAAAAAAAAAAAGAAAGCTCCAAAGGCAGAGCTGGTGGGAAAGGCAGTGAATTGAGCTTGAAATGCAAGGAAGCTTTAGGTGGAAGCCCTTACCATATTTATTTCTTTAAGCTTTTTTCATTGCTGTTTATTTAAAATAAACTTGTGTGTGTGTGTACACACGTGCACACATGTGTGTAGCATAAGAGGCTGGTGGCCTTGAATGTGCTTGTATCCATTAGAAATGGCACTAGTCTGCTTTTGGCCTAGGAGCCAAAGCTGCTCTGAGAACCCTTTGCTCGTGCAATTGTAAGTGTAAGAATTTAATTTCTTATACACCAAGTCTAGATTGGGTTTTCTTCTCCCCACCCCCCAAAAAAGGGGGTGACCTAATGACCAAACTTATAATAATTCTCCTATTGCTCAGAATGTTTTGAGATTGCCAGTTTTATAATTTCCTTCATACCAGTTCTTAGGCTGAACCAGAAAATCCACCTTGTTCCTCCTTTATATAGTCATGCTTTGTGCTTTTGTGAAAATGGATATAATCAGCCAAGATAGCTTTTTCAGAAAATTTAGCTCCAAATGGCTTTTGGCTGTCGACAAAGTACAAATAACATCTCCAATACCTGAAAACTGGTACTCAAATGGACAGTCAGGTTTTACCTACTTACTCTGTAATCTTCAGTAAGTTACTTAACAATCTGTTTGGAGGCAGCTCCAAGAAAGTTCTAAAACTGTTTTGGCCAAATGACATCATCTTTTTAAATTAAAAAAATTATTAATTTTTAAATTTACAGAGTAAAATTCGCTGTTTATAGAGTCATAACCACCAACAAACACATCAAGATACAGAACATTTCATTACCCCCCCACATTCCTTTGTGCTGCCCCTTTGTACTCAACCCCTTCCCACCCCCTTTCACCCACTGATATCTGTTCTCTCTCCCTTTAGTTTTGCCTCTCCCAGCATGTCATGCACTTGGAATCGTACAATATGTAGCTTTCTGAGTCTGGCTTCTTTCACTCAGCATAATACTCTTGAGATTCATCTAAGCTGTTGCATGCATCAGTAGTAATAATGTTCATTACTTTTTATTGCCGAAATGTATTTCATTGTATGAATGTAGTAGTTTATCCCTTCACCTGTTGAAAGACATTTGGGTTGTTTCCAGGTTGTGGCAACTGAATAAAACCACTTCAAACATTTACATAACAGGTTTCTGTGTGAACATAAATTTTCATTTCCCTTGGTCAATTCCTTCAAGTGGAATTTCAGGGTCAAATGATAAATATATGTTTAATGTTTTTTTTTTTAAAGATTTTATTCGGGAATTGGGGGAGGGAAGCAGTGTTGGGGAATCAGAGAAGGGGAACAGACAAGTAGACAAATTGCTGTTTTGTTCTTCAGTCTAGTGTGGAGGACGTCGCTTCACTGGCCCATGTTGGTATGATCATTGCGCTCTTCTCGGGTGAGGCAATCGGTCGCTGGTCATTGGTTGGCGGCTCATGGCAGCTCTCGCCTGCCGCTTATACTGGCTGCCAGCCACTCACATAGCTCACGGCAGCCCACTGCAGCCCCGCTGCAGCCTACGCTGTCGCCAGCGACTCACAGCAGCCCAGCTCCAGGTCGAGCTGTTGTTCATCATCTTAGCTGTAGAGGGCACAGCATCACTGGCCCTCAATGTGGGATCCAAACCGCGGCCCTGCTGCTCAGAGCTGGTGCTCCCAAGCGAGCTCTTAACCAACTGAGCCACTTGGCCGGACCCTATATATGTTTAACTTTTAAAGGAACGGCAAAACTATTTTCCAAAGTTGTGTACCATTTTGCATTCCTCTACCATCACTGGATAAGGGTTTCTGTTACTCCGCACCCTTGTCAGCACTTGGTGTGACCTGTCATTTTAGCCATTCAGAGAGGTTTGTAGAGGTATGTCACTGCTTTTAATGTGCCATTTCCCTAATGACTAATGATGTGGAGCATCTTCTCATGTGCTTATTTGCCTTCTGTATATGTTGTTCGGTGAAATGTCTGTTCAGATCTTTTGCCTGTTTTCTCATTGAGTTGTTTTCTTGCTCCTAAGTTTTTGGAGCTCTTTATACGTTCTGGATACAAGTCCTTTTCCAGATGTGTGATTTGCAAATGCTTTCTCTCAGGTTGTCGCTTGTCTTCTTAAAGATTTTACAAGGGATTTATAAGTATTTGTTCTTGTTATAATACATTCAGATGACACAAAGGAGAGTAAAAAGCACAAGTTCTCATTTACCTCCTGCCACCTCCTCCAGCTTTCTTCTCAAAGATAACCATTGTTGACAGTTTGGTGAGGATCTTTCCAATCCTTTTTATAGTATCATAATTTTCTGGTAAATACATATATTTGAAAGGGACATTTAAATATTGGTAAGTGTGGTTTAAAGTTTGTTCTATTACTTTTCAGTCAATAAGTGACATTTCAAAGAATCTTTCTGTTTTCCTGTCAGCGCAGAAGGTAAAATCATTGTTTTCTTTCTCTTAAAATAGTGAGTTTTAGTGTCATACTTCAGACAGCCATGATTTGGGGAAGAAAATTCTGGAAGATGACTGTTGAGTGGACTGAATGGAAATAGGTCATTTTATGTTTGCTATAGATTCCTCTAATTACTTGAAATGATTTTGAAATACATCCCTTTCCTTAATATAGGTGGTAAGTTGCTTTTTGCTTGTGTGTGCATGCACGCGCGTGTGCTAAAGGTCTCATTGGGCAAAGAACAGTATTGATAGCCTCAGAGTGAAGTTCTGGCTCATTCCCAAATTTTATTTATTTATTTATTTTATTTTATTTTTTTACAAAATTCATGGCAACTTAAAAAAATTTTTTTTTATTGGGGAATTAGGGGATGGGAACAGCGCTGGAGAATTGGGGAAAAGGGAACAGACAAGCTGCTGTCCTTTTGTTCTTCAGTCTAGTTGTGGAGGATGTTGCTTCACTGGCCCAAGTTGGCACCATCATTGCGCTCTTCCCAACTGAGGCAGATCAGTCGCCGGCTTCTGGACCGCCGCTCACAGCGGCTGCTGGCCGCTCACGCTGGCTGCTGGCTACACACGGTAGCTCATGGCAACCCACTGCAGCAGGGGCTGCAGCCTATGCCGTCGCCGGCGACTCACGGCAGCCCAGCTCCAGGTTGAGCTGTTGTTCAGCATCTTAGCTGTGGAGGGCAGTGTCACTGGCCCTCATATGTGGGATCCGAACCGGGGCCCTCTGGCATCCCAAGCCAGCTCTTAACCAACATGCCACTTGGCCGGCCCTCATGGCAACTTTTATTTCTTTTAGTTATTATTAAAAAATATTATAAATCTCTTGCAAGTCTTTAGACTCTCAAACCAACCCATGACTTTCTCCTTCCCCCAACATATGAAAGCTTTACAGTAAATGTGGTTTTTATTATTATTATTATTAGTTTCAGGTGTACAAAACAATGCAATAGTTATCCTTTTCACCCCTTATGAAGTGACAACTCCCCTCTCCCCACCTACTGCCTCCCCAACCCCCGATATCATACATACATATCTATTACAATTCCATTGACTCCATTCCCACACTATACTCCACATCCCATGACTATATATGTATTAAATTATAGTTGACATATAATATTATTCAACAGCAGCTTCAGATGTACAGTGCAGTGGTCAGGCCTCTACACCGTCCATGAAGTGGACATTCCCAAATTTTAGATTGCTCGTTTTTCTTTGATTCTTTTGTGCTGTTGGAAATACTCAGCACAGATTTTGTACTTGGTTCACAATTTTATTTTTAGCTACAGTTTTGAGCTGTTTTTAAACCACAACTGGTCATAACTTTTTTAAAGAATGAGCCTCATTAAAAACCAGTTGTTTTCAGGTATCTCAAAAAACTGGAAATGGAACTACCATATGACCCAGCAATTCCACTCTTGGGTATCTATCCAGAGAAACCCAAGATGCTAATTCAAAAAAATATATGCACCCCTATGTTTATTGCAGTGCTATTTATAATAGCCAAGACTTGGAAACAACCGAAATGCCCACCAGTAGACGACTGGATTAAGAAACTATGGTACATTTATACAATGAAGTATTACTCAGCTATAAAGAAGAAGGAAATCTTACCATTTGCAATGATATGGATGGACCTAGAGACTATTATGTTAAGTGAAATAAGTCAGTTGGAGAAAGACAAATACCATATGATCTCACTTATATGTGGAATCTAAAGAACTGAATAAATGAGAAATGTAAACAGAAATAGTCTCAGAGATATAAAGGAAAAACTGATGGTTGCTAGTTGGGAGGGGGGTGAGGATGAGGGAGAAAGGGAAGGGATTAGACAGCATAAATAGGTAACTACAGTATTGCCACAGGGATATGAAAGACAGTTCAAGGAATATAATTAATAATGTAAATATTTTGTAGGGTGTCAGATGGCCACATGTCTTGTTAGGGAGACTGCTTCATGGATAGGGTAGAGGCTTGAGCACTGCACTGTACACCTGAAGCTAATGTTGTATAATAATGTATGTCAACTATAAGTGAATATATATATAGTCATGGGATGTGGAGTATAGTGTGGGAGTGGAGTCAAGGGAACTGTAATAGATATGTATGATATTGGGGAGGGAGGGGAAGTGGGGCGGCGGATTGGGGGAGGGGGTTGTCACTTTGAGGGGTAAAAAGTATAACTATTGCACTGTGTTGTACAGCTAAAATTAATTTTTTTAAAAATGTGTATTGCACAATTAAAAATCTAAAACAAAACAAAACAAAAAAACAGTTGTTTTCATCTATCCATAGGTATGAATCCTAGGACTCAGAATAAGGATTCTCTAGAGGACAGTGTTTCTACTTCTCCAGACCCAAGTAAGTGGGGGCGGACGACTGGGTAAGGTAGAAAGGTGTGGGATGGTCCAAGCATAAGGAAGCAAGAAGGGGATCCCTGTGGGAAGAGAGTGGTCAGGAAGTACCCATGGCTCTGGGGTTCTAGAAGGCAGTGTGGTGAGGGAAGACTCTTCAGCCTCTCCAATGAAAAGTGAGAGAGAAGGGAGTGGCCAAATGACCTGTTCTGGAATGTGATTCAGAGGATTATGGGAAGGGTAACGGAATTCCCATGAGGCCTTTGTGTCAGTCCAGAGCTGGCCTTAGCCCTTAAGTACATTCTTAATGATGTCTTTGGGGAAAAGTTGGAAAAAAGTAATAAGAAGAACTGGAACTGTTTACATACTTATAGCTGAAAATGTTTGGGTTGCATTTGTTTTTATCATCCTTGTCTGGTGAAGTAACTGAACATCTAAATACAGCTGACCCTTGAACCATGTGGGTGTTGGGGTGCCTACCCCCATATAGTCAAATCTGCATATAACTTTTGATTCCCCCAGGACTTAACTACCAATATCCTACTGTTGGTCAGAAGCTATACCAATAACATAAATAGTCAATTAACACATATTTTGTATGTTATATGTATATTCTCACAATAAGGTAAGCTAGAGAAGAAAATGTAATTAAGAAAATCATAAGGAAAATACATTTATAGTATTTGTTGAAAACAATCCATGTGTAAGTGGACCCAATGCAGTTAAAACTTGTGGTGTTCAAGGGTCGACTGTATTTAAGAGAACGTCCAGATATCTATAATAGCAAAATACCAGAAAAAAAAAAATCCTACTATCTGATAGACTTTTATTTTTCTTGGCTATAACCAGTGGATATACATCACTGAGTCTTTTTATCCCCACTTATGATTAGCTTAATATTCCTTTTACCACTTCTTCAGGTCCCTCATATTACTCATTTTATAGTGGCAAGATCAAACAAATTACTATATCATAGTTCGAATAACCAGTTTTTATTGGTGGCCAGTTGGGTGGTTTCTAGTTTTTTTACGATAGCATATAATGCAGATACAATGCATGGTGCAGTTGGTGTATTTTTTCTTTTGGTTCAAATCCTTGGAATATATTCCCCAAAGTATGGTTGGCAGATTGATTATTTTCTATGAAGCTGCCAGCAATGAATAGATGAGCCTATCTCTTCTGTACAACCCCAGCACTGGATTTTGTAATCTGTGTATGTTGTTAATTTAGTAGTTCTGAAGTGGAACCTTGTTAGAGGTCTTTTTAGGGCTGAAGATAATGGAGTTAGAAAAGAGGCCACACTCTCATTCCAGTGAAAGAACATCATTAAACTAACAATTGGGAACCTTTCTCACCATGGGATTTTGGACCAGGCATTTCAATTCTCTGTATCTTGGTATGTGCCAGCAGAAGACATTTCTGAAAGGTTTTATAATCCCGAGAGTCGGGAAGCTGACGAGGACCAGAAAAATCTAAGAGGGAATAAAGATAGAACTATCTTCTGTTTCTGGCTTCCCTACTATGGCTTCGATTAGGTGACTTCCTCCTGGTACTGATTTTAACAGGAAGTAGGAATAAGCTCACCCCCTCGTTTGCCACATAGAGAAATTAGGGGTGATTAATTAGGCTATTTTGGGCTATATTTTCAATTCTTAAAGTGTTACTGAGTTAACAAGACTTGTGTATAGTCAAACTCAATAGAATCAGAGAGTGGAATGGTAATTGCCAGGAGCTTGGGGGGAGGTGGAAATGGGGTGTTGCTAATCAGTGGACATAAAGTTTCATTTGTGCAAGATGAATAAGCTCTAGAGATCTGCTGTGCAACATTGTGCCTGAGTTAATGATACTATATTGTATGTACACTTAAAAAATTGTGAAGAGGGTAAGTCTCATGTTAAGTCTTCTGAACAAACAAACTAAAAACCACCCCATGGCCTGTCATATATACCATGGAGTTAGGCCTATTGCAGGTCAGGTCATCTTCTCCAAGGCACTGGTGCTGCATGGGACATATTTCCTGCTGTGACTTAGCACACAAGTCCTCTTCTTGTCCTTTAACGCTGAATTCAGTGGGACTCTGTTGTGCTGGGCAGTGTGTGTCTGCCACTACATGGTGGAAGGATTCATGAACAGAGACTGTTAGTCCTACAACCTCTGAGAGGTTCGACTTGGCCAAGTGTTGAATGAGTTGATGCTGCCACCATACCTTCTCCGAAGAGCAGTGTGAGGGCTGAGGAGATAACAGGTGTACCACCCTGAACGCCACATTGCACTGTGCAAAGCTAAGGGGTATGAGGATGTCACCCGGGACGCATAGAGGCAAAGGCATGGAGTGTTTCTGCTTCACATGGGTTCCCTCGTATAGAGATTTGAAAAACATTCTTCACTTAAATAACCTACAGAGGTAGCTGCCCTATTCCTTTAGCTCAGTGATTTTCAACTGGGGATGAGTTTTGTCCCCCCAGGGGCACTGTGGCAGTGTCTGCAGACATTTTCGGTTTTCACAGCCAGGAGATGCCACTTGGCATCTAGTGCGGAGAGTCCAGGAATGCTGTTCAATATCCTGCAATGCACGGGACAGCCCCCCACAACAAAGAATGATCTTGTCTAAAATCTCAGTAGTGCCGAAGTGGAGAGACCCTGCTTTAGCCAAAGAGCAGACAATTTTGGAAGAGACCTGTGTGGTCAGGCCCACTCTACCAACTGAAGCTTTCATTTCTAAATCGTTAAACACTGTCTCCTAAAGTTCTGGCCTTGATTTCTCCTCCTGCCCTTTTGGATCTGTGACTTATTTTTACAATTCTGAAAGTATTCCTGAATTCTGCCACCGTGTGCTGTTTGCTCCAAAATCTGGCTGAGCTCCCTGTTTTTTCCCACCCAACCACTCTGCAGCCCTTGGGAGAGGCTCCTGCTTGAGTTCTCTTCTGCTCTTGGAATGTTGATTTGCTTCCACATATAACTGCCTGCCCTGCCCTGCGGTAACCTCCCTGGCATTGCAGCTTGTAGCTTACCATCAGCAGAAAATGAAAAGTATCAGCTGTGAATCCCATTTGCATGATGGGATTGAATAAGCACGCGCACTGCATTGTCTAACAAACTGTTTCTCTCTTTCTCTTTCTCCCTCCCCATCCCCTTGCCTGGTAATTTTATCACCTTTCACCGTGAACTTTTCCCCCCACCCTCCCCTTCTCCTCCCCCTACCCTCCACTTCCCACACCCATCTCATGCCTGCCTTGGTGACCACACGCACCTTTTGCCACCGTTTTCATGAGGCAGTTCTGACACTGTCTGCTCCCCCTGTAGTGCCAGGCTTCTGTTGCACAGTTGGAGTGGACTGGAAGTCTCTCACTACTCCGGCGTGCCTCCCCCTCACCACCGACTACTTCCCTGACCGCCAGGGCTTGCAGAACGACTATACAGAGGGCTGTTACGACCTCCTCCCGGAAGCAGACATGGACAGGTCAGTGTTAGAGGAAAGGCTTTGTTTGTGGGTGCCGGTGGGGGTGGTGGTGTGCATCAAAACACTGAATTTTCAAACCTGTGTCCCATTATGTTTAGGAAATTTTATGAGGCAAGAACAGTTAGTTTTTTCTTTAGCGTTCTATTGACTTGCTGCTTTCTTTAACCATTTCTCCTCATTGATTCTTTTCCATATTTTCTATTGCAGTTGTTCTGGGCACATTAAATCCGATCTTTTCTAAGATTATCCATTTGGGCATCAAATGACCGGCCTTCTTTTTTCACCTCTTGAACTGATCATTTTTCCCCAAAACTGTTTACAAATTGTTCGTTTTATGAACCACCATGGAATAGTTATCAGGGCTGGCTTGTGGGGTTGAAGCAAAGGAGAGGATAGAACCATGGATTCTGAGTATCACGCTGCTCTGGGCCAAGCATATTTGTGTGAACAATCATCTGCTTTTTTCAGGAGGGACGAGGAGGGGGTGCAGATGACGGCCCAGCAGGTGTTTGAAGAGTTTATTTGCCAGCGTCTCATGCAGGGCTACCAAATCATAGTGCAACCCAAGGTGCAGAAAGCCAACCCTGTTGTTCCACCCCCGCTAAGCAGCAGCCCCCTCTACAGCCGAGGTGAGTTTTTCTCCTGAGGCTTACTTTTTATTCTTTTCTTAAATTTATGTAAGTCAGCTCTCAAGATGGTAGGAAATAGATACATTTAGGAATAATTATTTTCAATACAAAATTTTTCTTAATTTTATATTACATAAAAGAATAAAGTCTCCACAGGGCACAGATTTATCTTAAAACTCCCTTTCACCTACAACTCTCCTTTTAAGGAAGAGGATATGATCAAGTTCAGGAATGTTGCAGCCTGGCTTGGGCAACATGTAGGAGTAGCAGGCAGCTGAGCCAGGACTGGTGTGTCAAAGCACGTAGTGAATATTCCAGACCCCAAAAGACATGTATTTGTAGCACAGTACGTGACACCCAGCAGGTTCTCAGATGTTACTACCTAAACCTGAAGTTTATACTTATTCTTTTTTTTTTCCTATTCTGGATTTCTTTTCTCTTGTTTCTCACCAAGGCTTAATGACTTGAAACAAGAATGGGTCATCTGTGAGTGAGAGGCCAAATAGTTAGAGCCAGGCTCTGGAGAACTCTTCTAAAGTAAGTCAGGCAGAAAAAAATTAAGTGTAGGTGCCTGGAATCCAAAAGCATTGATCACATACTGGAACAATCAGTGAGTAGCCATTGGTCTCTGGCTTTCTGTTTGTAGCTGACTAGACTTCCCACTCTCCTAACCACCCAGCTCAAAACCTCAGATCATCTTTGGCTTCGTTAAAGCCTCTTTGGCTGGACAAGCAGAGAAATATGGTCCTATTAGAGGGAGCTTAGTGGTCATCAGGTCCAGGCCCAGTTGTTTACGATGAAGCTTTGGGTTCCCTCTGGATTTTCTTTGAAAGCCCCTGTGATACTTATCACATGTTGCCTTCTTTTCATTTTCTAGACTAGGGGTCGGCTCGCGAGCCACGTGTGGCTCTTTCAGTACATTCCTTCTCAAAAGTGCCGATCCCTGGAAGAGCCAATCTGTCCCTCACAACAATTTAAAAATTATTCAAGAGCCATAAATATATTTTTACATAATCACCATTATGTGAATAATATCCTTTAAAAATTTTATAAATGAAACTATAATAGTTTTATTTTCATTTTCAATTTTACTTCAGAGCCACATGTACGTACCCAAAGAGCCGCATGTGGCTCACGAGCCGCAGTTTGCTGACCACTGGCGGCTCTTCCATCTCAAAAGTTTGCCAACCCCTGTCCTAGACTCTACTATGTAAATGTAACCTTTCTGAGTGCCAGGACTATTTTAGCTTCGTCTGTTTATCCTCTACAATAGAAACCAGTGTGCCTGGTATATAACACTATGGGTCAATAAATATATAAATTCATTCATTCAACAGCATTTTTCAGCCTGCTCTGTGGGGAATAATAACATTAGTCAAACTTCGAAATATAATTCCATGTTGTGATAAAGACTATGAGGGAAAAATCAAGGGACCTGATCTGGTCTGGAGGGCCGGGTATGGCTTCCTTGAGAAGGTGATGTTTGAGCTGAGATGTGAAGTATGTGCGGGAGTTACAGTAAGAGAAGCAGGTTGGAGGTGGAGGGCAGGAGCAGGTAAGAAGAGCATACCAGCAAAGGTATTAGTATATGCAAAGGCCTTGAGGCAGAAGGCACTGTGACACTTTCTGGGCACCAAAAAGAAGCCTGGTGTGGTGGAGCATAAAGCGTAAGCCAGAGATGTGACCAGAAATGTCAGGAGATTCAGACCTTACAGGACCATGTGAAGCATTTTGTTCTTTATCCCAAAAGTAGTGGAATGAATTTGCCTTTAATGTCAGTGACCCCATCCAGGCTGCCTGCTTACTTTTCTCTGGATAGCTGATCAGTGTCCCTTAGTGGTCCATAATTCCTTGAGTGTTCAGTTCTGTTCTGGCTGATTCATAAGCCTCATGTCATGGCTGGTTGGCTAGAGGCTACTCACCTGACTGTACCTTTTCTGGCTATTTTTCTCCTTTGGTGAATTTAGTCCCTTTTATTTCTAGCATAACAGGAATGGCACCATTGTATAATTATTGGAAAAGTAGCCATCATAAGTGAGTGTGTGCTACTCACTGATGACAGATTTACTTAATACCGATTGTAAGCGGGACCCTGTTCCAGTAGTAAATAGAACAGCATCATCCCTGTCCTTGGAGTTTACAGCCTACTGGGGGAGACAGATGTTAAACTAATAAACCACAAGTATGTATTTGACCCCAGGTTGTGATGGGTGCTCTGCAGGATAAGTACAGGAATAACTCTGGTGCACCTAATTTAGAATGGGGTATAGGTACCATGCTAGGTGCTTATGAATGTTATCCCATGATGTTGTCTTCCTGACAACCAGCAGGGTGCTTACTGAACGAATAAAAGAATTCTGGGATGGGGACAAGCCCTCTTTCTAGTTGCAGAGAGCAAGACTCAGATTTGGTACCCAAGATCACACAGCTGGCAAATGAAAGCGCTGGGGTTTAACCCGTGGCCCTCTGAGTCAAAGCCTGGCTTCTTTTATTTGTAATCAGCCTGCTGCTCTGTCACTATCATATGGGAAATTTCTGCATTCCTAGTGAATATCTTTTCAACCTCTGCCATCCTGTCTTGACAACTCCCATGCTGCCTACCACTAAACGAGGGGCTTGTGTTTCGTTTTTAGATCACGGGAATTTTGTGGCTCAGTTGTTCATTGAGGCACTATTTTTATTCTCTTGAAAGCTTGTAGTTTTCTTGAGTCTTCATTATTTTGCTCTTTCCAATGTTCAACTCAATTCAACTAACATTTTTTGAATACCTACTGTGGGCATGGCCACCGAAAATATAAAGACTTGGGGCTTGGCCTCCTGGAACTTTTAGTTTGTATAATAAGTGTGTGAGACACACACATAGGGAGCTACAGACAAGGTAGAATTCAGACTGCTGATGGGGCCTGATTCTGGAGGGAGTGGCATTTGATGGTGACGTTAAATGATCCATAGGATTTTTTTTTTTTTTTTAGCTGAGCCATCCTGCCACCTGTTGGCAGCTCAGCAGCAGCTCAGCTCGGGCCAGGCATTGAACTGCTGTTGCTCAGAGCTCACACTCTTGAGCGAGCTTTTAACCAACTGAGCCAATCAGCCGGCCCTGATCCTTTTGGATTTTGACGGTGGCCCAGGAATAGAAGGCAGAAGAAAGAATGGAAGCAAATGTTTGGAGATGGGAATTACAACAAATAAATCAGTGGTCCTTTAAGACAGAAACACAGTGTAGCAGCGTGGGAGTCGTGGGAGCTAAGTCCAGAAAGCTCGGTTGGTTGCCACCCTGGGGTGAGGACCTCAAATGCCAGGGCGGCAGCTTGTGCTTGAGTGGAGTGGAGTTCCACTTTGTCCCACAGTCATCTCTCAGCCTGTTACCATCTCTAGAACTTTCCAGAACAGCATTGGGCTGTTCAGCTTTGAGTGTGTCATCTAGGTGCTATCAGTAGCCCCAGGCTCTAATCTGCTGCTGGTTGGTTGGTTCAGTAACACAAAAATCTGCCAACTTCAGGACTTTTTGTGTTGCCTCTTTTATGTGTCCTTTATGGAAGAAAAGCAATTGCCTGTTATCAGGTGGAAGAAATGATTTTTTTTCTCTGTTAGGCCTTGTATCCCGAAACCGACCTGAGGAGGAGGACCAGTACTGGTTGAGTATGGGCAGAACTTTCCACAAAGTGACACTGAAGGATAAGATGATCACAGTGACACGATATCTTCCCAAGTGAGTCTTTGGATATTTAAGTTTTTCAGTTACTGTCCTGAATTGTGTCCACATACTGTATTATGTGTATCATTGAAATGGAGGAGGTTGAGTGGTTAATTTTTCTTCTGGAGTTACTGTTTTGTTTTCTAGGGTTATTTTATGGTCATAGCTCCTCTACTTTCAAAAGGGATTTGATTCAGCTTATGTCAGCCTGATTCTTAACAAGCCAAGTAAAAATAAAGAATGTGAGGAGAGAAGAATGAGAAAGTTAAGAAGATCTGAGAAATCTCCATTACCAGTCCCTGGGGATGAGTTGGATTACCGTGGTTGAGGGTTGAATGCCAAGGATGGTGCTAAGTGTATTGAGACGGAAAAGGTAGTGAAGAATCGGGGGATTCTGCTTTGGACTTCTAGGCATGTCCTTTTTTCCCCAGGTATCCTTATGAGTCTGCTCAGATCCACTACACCTACAGCCTCTGCCCTTCCCACTCAGACTCGGAGTTCGTTTCCTGTTGGGTGGAATTCTCCCACGAGCGGCTGGAGGAGTACAAGTGGAATTACTTAGATCAGTATATCTGTTCCACCGGCTCTGAGGATTTCAGGTCAGAGAACGTGCTTTGGCTTTCCATCCTGGGTGTGTCCATATTTTAGCACTTCCGGCCTTTTTTGTGATTACAAAAGCATGTCTGTTTTAGAAAGGAAAAAAAAAAATGGAAGAACAAAAGCACATGTACATTGATTGGGTTAAAAACTCAGTAAGGAGATGGATGGTGGTGATGGTTGCATAACAATGCGAATGTACTTAATGCTGTTGAAATGTACACTTTTTTTCTCCCTATTGAGGTTTTATTTATTTTTTTTAATTTTTCAACTACTCTGCCATCTTGACAGGAAATCACATTGAAATGTACACTTAAAGATCTTTAAAGTGGTAAACTTAGTTGTACATAGTTTACCACATAAAAACAAACAACAAAACCTTGGTGATGATGTGCTCTTTGATGGGATATCAGTGCAGATCATGGCCTTAACATTTTCCTGACTACTTGTGTTGTTTTTTTTTTAATGTTTATGCATGATTTATGATTGTGATGATGAAAAGCCATTGAAGCTTTCTGGCATTTCTGGGATGTAAAGTAAACATGTGTTTGAGTTCTTCCTTCTGAGCTTGTGGTGTTTTTTGTTTTTGTTTATTTTCCATTTTTAAAAAATTTATTTTTAAATTATAGTTGACACAGAATGAGCTTGTGTTTTGTTTTTTGTTGTTGTTTTAAAGATTTTATTGGGGAATTGGGGGAGGGGAACAATGTTGGGGAATCGGGGGAAGGGGAACAGACAAGTGGCTGTGCTTTTGTTCTTCAGTCTAGTTGTGGAGGACGTCGCTTCACTGGCCCATGTTGGTATTATCATTGCGCTCTTCCCGGAAGAGGCAATCGCTTGCCAGCCATTGGACGGCTGCTCATGGTGGCAGAATGAGCTTGTGTTTTAAATGAAGCCCTGAAATATGGCACCGTGTGAGGAGAGGGACCCTTACACGCCAGCTCCAAGGAGAAGGCTGAGATGTCGTGTTCATCAGGAGTGATTTCTGTACCTGCTTTTTCTCACCACCACCCCATTTTCTCCCTTGGTGCCCCATAGCCTAATTGAGTCTCTGAAATTCTGGAGGACCAGATTCCTGCTGCTGCCAGCCTGTGTCACTGCCACCAAGCGCATCACAGAGGGCGAGGCCCACTGCGACATCTACGGGGACAGGCCCCGGGCAGACGAGGAGGAGTGGCAGCTCCTGGATGGCTTTATCCGCTTTGTGGAGGGCTTGAACCGGATCCGCAGGCGCCATCGCTCCGATCGCATGATGCGGGTGAGGGCTCTGTGGGGACTGTGCCTAGTTGGGGATGCAGGAGCTGTCTCCTCCTATCTCGGGGACCTCCACTGGAAAATTCATTTACTCCACAACTGTCGTAAAATCAAAACAGTGTGTTGTTCTTCAGGGCAGGGTGTAGGAGGGAGGGATTGGATAGAGACAGCCACTGGGCAGTGTTCTGTGGCACAGGGCAACCTGAGGACACAGCTTCCTCATGTGCACCCCAAGTGGGACCCGGTATTGAGTGCAGCTGCTTGTGTAATATGGTGTAGGATGGCAGCAGCAATGTCACTTATAGCACTTTTAGAGCTCCGAGCACCCTTGGACATTCATTCAACCACGCATTCCCTGGTGGGGACGCTGAGGCTCATGGGGGTTATGGAATATGTCTGACAACACTCAGCTGTGTGTGTGTGTGTGTGTGTGTGTGTGTGTGTGTGTGTATGTGTATGTGTATGTACGGCCTATGAATTTTACAAATTTAGATTCATGTAATCACCACCACCACAATCAGGATGCAGAATAGCTTCCATCACCCCAAAAACACTCCCTCCATCTACCCTTTATAGCCACACTCTACCCCCATCTCTTACCCCTAGCAGCAGCTGGTCTGTTTTCCATTACTGTACTTTTGTTTTACCAAATGTCATGTAAACTGGACCATACAATATGTAAACTTTTGAGGCTGCCTTCTGTCACTCAGCATCATGCCTCTGGGATTCATTCAAGTTGTCATTACATCAGTGGTTCATTTCTTTTTGTTGCTGAGTAGTGCTCCATCATCAGCCATGTTTTAACCTTAAGTTCAGGATTCTTCAACCCACCCAGCTGCCTTCTGTACACAGCATCACTTATGATTATACACAGCCTCATTTCCAGGAGATCTTGTTTAGTGGAAAGAACCTTGGCTTTGAAGTCATGTAACTATAGTTTGAATTCCAGCTCCAGTGGGACTTTGAATAAGTTCCTTAACTTCTCTAAGATTCAGTTTCTTCTATAAATTAGATATAATGTTATTTATTCCCTAGAGTTATCATGAGAATAAAATGAGATAATATGCATAAATCACCTCAAAGAGGCAGTTTGTTTTGAGTCAACAGGCACTTGGGGCCTTCAGTTGAGGTGGAAAGCAGTTTTCTGGCATTTACTGAATCCCTAGAACCCATGTTCCTCAGTTAACTAGACTCCCAGAGCCAGCAGCACATCAGATGTAGCAGCATGTGCTGGGGCGTGAATTGTGTCCACTCAGGGGTCCACTCGGGCTGATGGCCTTGTCTCTTCTTCTCTGCTCTAGAAAGGGACCTCCATGAAAGGCTTGCAGGTGACCGGACCCATTTCCACGCACTCCCTTGAGTCAACCGGCCCCCCAGTTGGAAAGAAGGGAACCTCAGCTCTGTCTGCCCTGTTGGAGATGGAGGCCAGTCAGAAGTAAGTGCCTGGTTGGAGAGAGACGCGTCCCCACCCCACAGCCCTGAGGGTTTTCAGTGCTCCACTCTTGTGATTGGAGTAAAATATGATTTCTATCTGCAAGGAGCCTGTAATTGCCAAAAAGACACACATGAAAAGCAAGCTGGGTGTCAAATAATATGAAATAGGCCAGAAGTTATAAGCTTGCAGCTGGGGCTTAATTTGAACTACAGATACTTTTGTTTTGACCTACAAAGTGCTTTGTTTTGTTGTTAGTTTTTTTCTTAATGGACTATTTTTTTGAGCAGTTTTAGGTTCAAAGCAAAATTGAGTGGAATGTACAGATATTTCCCATTCATACCCTGTCTCCACACATGCACAGCTTTCCCTGTTACGGACATCCCCACCAGAGTGGGACATTTGTTACAATTACAGTTTATGAACCTACACTGACACATCATAATCACTCCAAGTCCATAGTTCATTTACAACAGGGTTCACGTTCCTTGGTCTTATACATTCTGTGGGTTTAGACAAATTTATAATGACCTGAATCTACCATTACAGGGTAGTTTCACTGCCCTAAAAACACAGAATATTCTTTTAAATATTTGAGCCAAACTTTTTTTTTGTTTGAAGATTCATATAAAAATCTGGACTTTATATGAATTCTTATATGAAAAAATATTAGTATTTTAGTAACATGATGCATGGTTATATTATATAACATATAAAACAATGTATTATCAATAATATAATACAAAATTATAGATAATATATAAAATCCAGCTTTGCTTTAAATAACGGAAGCTCAGTTAATACTGGGTCCACAGTTATACCAAGCCATGATGGGCTGGCACTTTAGAATAGACATGTGCCCTCTGGTTTACCATGGATCCAGCATACCCTCTGGTCTTGGACTTGTCTTGCACCCTCAGTCATGCTCCCTGACCAGCTTCTCTAGGCATTTGAATGTGTGGTCCTTTTATAAACGTTAAATACTACAGTTCTCAGGATGCTGGTGGGATTACATCTTGTTTGGGAGGGTAGGGACAATGTCACAGGAGGTAGGGTTTAAGTTGACCTCGTAAGAAGGGAAGCAATTACACAGAAAGGAGGTGGGACTTGGGGAAGAGGAGGAAACATTCCATGAACAGGTGGGACCTCCATTGGCACTTTTTCCATGCCGCCTTCATCCTCTCAGCCAGATCAGTCTCCCTCTGTGCCTCCCAGCATCCTGGGCCTACGTCTTACTATATATCCTGGGCCTATTAGAGCACTTATCTGTATTCTTCTGAGGCTGCAGCCGGTTTACTTATCTTCCCCCTGCCCCTCCCTCTTGTCTGTGCTCTGAGGACAGAGGTGTGTGTTGTGCCTGGCACGTAGTAGGTGCACAATAGATGTGAATGATGGAGAATGGGATGTGAACAAGATGCTAGAGGAGACTAGACCTTATCTGTCTGGTGTGAAGGTCCATGTCATGCCCAGCAGGAGCCTGCATACATTCGGCTTTCCGAAAGTACTGTGGAGTAAGCATGAGGCACAGTGGGAAATGCAATTACAGACTGCTTGGGAAATTGGATTCAGGCTGTCCCTTTGAAAGTGTTTTTATTTTAATGGAAAATTTCAAACAGATTTTTAAAAAGCAGGCAGTCTAGTATAATAAATCCCCATTTACCTATCACCCAGCTTCATTGATTTTCATCTCATGGCAGATCTCGTTTCGTTTATATCCCATTTGCTTTCATCTTCTTTTCTTTTTTTTTTAAAGATTTTTATTGGGGAATTGGGGGGATGGGAACAGTGCTAGGGAATTGGGGGAAGGGGAACAGACAAGTTGCTGTTGTTTTGTTCTTCAGTCTAGTTGTGGAGGATGTTGCTTCATTGTGCTCTTCCCGGGTGAGGCAGATCAGTCGCCGGTTTCTGGACGGCCGCTCACTGCGGCTGCTGGCCGCTCACGCTGGCTGCTGGCTACATACGGTACCCATGGCAACCCACTGCAGCAGGGACTGCAGCATGCCATCGCTGGCGACTCACGGCAGCCCAGCTCCAGGTTGAGCTGTTGTTCAGCATCTTAGCTGTGGAGGGCAGTGTCACTGGCCCTCATATGTGGGATCCGAACTGGGGCCCTCTGACGTCCCAAGCCAGTTCTTAACCATCGCGCCCCTCGGCCGGCCCTCATCTTCTTTTTTATTTCTTATTAACTCCCAGACATCGTATCCCTTCATCTGTAATATTTCAGTATGTATCTCAGAAAGATAAATACTCTAAAAAAACAAGAACACCATAATACCATCATTCATCTAAAAAGTTACAGCAATTCCTTAACATCATGAAATATCCATTCAGTGTCTTTGCCAGAAGTGGCTCTTTCAAAGATGAGCCCCGTGCACAGGAAGGCTCATGGGGTGGACCCCAGGAGGCAGAGACCCATTGGTAGGCTCCCACTAGTCCAGGCAAGAGGCGACAGAGGCTGGATGGAGGGTGATGATGACATGGAAAGGAAGGGATGTAGGAAGAGAAGTGAAGAACAGAGTGGGGTGACTGCGGGGGCAAATGAGAGGAGGAGAGCTGGAGTAGGTTGGGCTCATTATTGATACAGGATCCTCTTCAGAAAATATCTTCATCTGTCCAAAGAAAGAACCCAGAACTCTCCCTGGCAGGTTCTCCCTATGACTAATCATAGACCCTTCCTGCTGAAAGAAAGAACAAGGAACATATGTTGCTGGGAGGGATGTGAAGGTGGGAATGGGGGAATCTTATTTTAATTTGTCAGTGAGTCATCATTTAGTATGCTCCTCAGAGCCTGTTTCTGCTCACATTGGAAGAGGGAAGATAGCTTGGGGTGGTGGTGTCCCCTTGTGAGGGGTGAGACTCTCAGCTAACACCAGAGCAAGAGGCAGGAGAGAGACTAATATTTATTCCTTGCCCTGATGACTGCTCCTGGGTGACATGGTGTGTTCTCTCAGTGCTGGAGACAGAGCAAAAGGAGCTTGACCTTTATGTGATATTTGCACACACAGCATTTTTGTGTGTGCCTTTCTTTTTCTTTTGCTGCACCAAGCAGATCCAGTTTTATTTATTAGGAAAAATAGTGACAGCAACATGAAAAAGAGTTAGTGAAATGTCACCTGTGGTCCTGCCATCTTACCATAACCGTTTATCTCTACCACTTCTCCCCAGTCTTTCTCTGTAGACATATATGTTCAGTCAGGCTCTCGTGGAAGATACAGACCCCTGGAATCTTGGCCCTAGATCGACTAACAGCATGGCTGTGAGCAGTCTGGGCAACAGGCATTGGTCAGCGGGCTTTGCTGCTCCTGTTAGATGACGGCTGAGTTAGAGCAGAGAGACCATGGTGACCGACCCCCTCCCAGCAGAAGGCAGTGTACCCTCATGTATGTTCTAACATATGTACATATCTGTATGTAATACATATAACTGGCCATTTGTTACAGTCACCCCCCTGAGCCATTAGACAAGGAGCCTCCAAGGGCAAGGACAGGATCTTACTCACCTCTGAATCCCTGATTCCATGAGTCAGCACGTAGACAGCAACTCAGTAAATGGGGATTGTCATGGGCATCAGACAGCACATCTTAGTGGACACTTGGGGGTAACCCCGGCTTCCTGCCACTGCTGTCCTCAGGGAAGTGCAAGAGAATGTTATAGTGTGCGTTTGTGAATGAGGCTCAGAGGAAAACACACAGCAAGGTGGTAGAGAGAGAGAGAGACAGTGTGGTGCAGTGAAAAAGGGAAGGAATCAAGCACTTACTCTGCTTTTCCTAAATGAACTATACCTCAGAGTCACCAAGTAATTGGTGTAGGGAACTTTCTTTTTTTTCAATATTCCAGCTAATAGGTACAAAAGGAATGATAGAACATCACCATGCGTGGTTTCTAATGAACTTAATTGGTCCAGCAGAGCTCATCAGTGGCAACTAACGTTACACAAGAGAGACCACCAGACACTGTGGGCCTCCAGACAGGAGTACATGACACACTTATGGAGAATTCTTGTCCCAAGTTGAACCTAAAACTGCTCAGACTTTTAGATATTATTTCCAGTTGTCAGGAAGTGCAGGGCGCAGAGGAACATGATAAACAATAAAAGGATATAATCAGCTCATCTAGACAGTAAATTTGGAGGATGAACGAGCTTTCTTCAACAAATAAATTGCAAAGATGAGAGATGAAAAGGAGTTTTAGCTTAAAAAAGATTTAAGAGACAAACTTATTGTAATGTAGGGGTCTTAGTTGAATCCTGTTTTGAACAAACTGTAAACAAATTTTTGGAGATATTGGAGAAATATTTGATAATAAAAAATTTTTTTAATTTTGAGTATAGTGATAGAATTGTGGTTATGTTTTTTAAAAACATTTTCTTTTAGAGATACAATATACTGAAGTGTTTATGGATGAAATAATATCATGTGTGAGTTTTGCTTCAAAATAATCGGGATGGATAGGTAGAATGTATAGATCAAACAATATTGGCTCTAAATGAATAATTTTGGGGTCTGAGTAGATGGGGTTCGATTATATTATCCTCTTTACTTTGTGTATCTTTGAAATGTTTCCATAATAAAAACTATAAATAAAAGAGTGTAACAGGTTACTATGGAAACCGATTTTCAATCTCTGGGATGAGATTACTTTACCGTCAATAACAAACATCATAATTTAAGTCTAGAGAAGTATTACAGATTGGGTTCCTGGGGAAGCTGACTGAGATGGGGTTTAACATGTAGGATGTTTATTTTTATTTTTTTATTTTTTAAAAGATTTTATTGGGGAATTCGGGGAGGGGAACAGTGTTGGGGAATCGGGGAAGGGGAACAGACAAGGTGCTGTCCTTTTGTTCTTCAGTCTAGTTGTGGAGGACGTCGCCTCACTGGCCCATGTTGGTATTGTGATGATTGCGCTCTTCCCGGGTGAGGCAGATCGGTCGCCGGCCACTGGACAGCCACTCATGGCGGCTCTTGGCAGCTCACGCTGGCTGCCAGCCACTCACAGTAGCTTTACGGCAGCCCACTGCAGCCTACATCGTCGCCGGTGACTCACGGCAGTCCAGCTCCAGGTCGAGCTGTTGTTCAGTGTCTTAGCTGTAGAGGGTGCAGCGTCACTGGTCCTCATGTGGGATCTGAACCGGGACCTTGCTGCTCAGAGCTGGCATCCCAAGCCAGCTCTTAACCAACATGCCACTTGACTGGCCCTAAGATGTTAATTATTAAGGAAAGTCTTGGGCTCAACACCTGTGGAAGGGAGAGGGCAGAAGAAGCAGGAGTGGGCAGAGGGAGAAGCTGAGATGTGATAAAAGCCCAGTAACAGCCTCAGGCCACCTCACTCGAGGTCTGCAGCTAGAACAGCCTTTAGAGATGACTGGGACTGGACCAACATGGCCAGGCCTTTCCACTTTCTCACTGATCCTTCATTGTCTGTGGGCAGCCCAGGGAGGAGTGAGAGCTTACACGAGACTGCTCTGCAGCTGGGGCTGTCCCTGAAGGGCCTGACAGCTGAGCCAGCTGGACAACATGTCCAGCTACTGTGGCAACAAGGCCGCAGCAGAGAGACCTGGGTGACGCCTTGCAGTGTCCACCTCAAGAAGTATATGTTACAGGGGCGGCCGGTTAGCTTGGTTGGTTAGAGCACAATGCTCATAACACCAAGGTTGCCAGTTTGATCCCCACATGGGCCACTTAGTTGTGCCCTCCACAATTACAACAGATTGAAACAACTACTTGACTTGGAGCTGATGGGTCCTGGAAAAACACACTGTTCCCAATAAAATTTTTTTTAAAGTATATATTACAATAATAACGAAGGATTTAAGACTATAACGTGAGCCTTCTGAAACTTAGCAAATAAAAATTCAGTAATATAAAAAAAATTCAGTAATAAGACAATCTAATTTGGAGAAGCATTTAAGTTATAATAGTTTATAGCTCATTTTAGTATGAAAAAATAGGAAAAGAAACATAAAAGTATGTATTTATGTACATCAGAAACAGGATGGGATGGGATGGGGTGGGGTGTCATAAGAAAACCATATCTGTCTTGGTTTATGAGATGATGTCTGTTAGATCTACGTGGGGTTTTCTTTTGGGGGGATATAAGTATGTACATTTGAAATATTAACATATAAACCTTGAAAATATATAGAGTCAACACATTTCCCCCTATTAAGCTCATGCTGCAGGTTAATGCAGCCCTAAATTTCAGAATGTGCTTCTGCTGGTATAGTTAATAAAAACTGAGAAAAAGTCTTTCCCAGAGGATTAAAAATATGGTGTTCATGGATAGAGTCGCTCAAACCATGTCACTTGCCTTTTCAAAGTAATAGGTAAGCACCAGATGGTGCCAAGATGCTTTTTAAATTGGGCTGTTTTCTGATTTACTGTGGAGGGCTGGTGATTGTTCAGGACGACGATTGAAATTAAGGGTATCATGTAGGACCTGAAGGAGAAATAAAGCAGAAATGTATGTTTCAAAAGAGGACAGCAATACAGCTGTCTTCATTCCATCTTGGCCAACCTGGGTCTTTCACCAGGGATCTCTGAGCAAGCCACAGTCATGTGGTTTTCCTCCTTTCAGGTGCCTGGGAGAACAGCAGGCAGCTGTGCATGGTGGCAAGAGCTCCGCCCAGCCCTCCGAGAGCAGCAGCGTTGCCATGACTCCCACCTACGTGGACAGCCCACGAAAGGTAAAAGGGGGCCCCGCAACAGGGAGCATGCTCTCAGAGATGTGATGTGGAGGGGAGAAGGGAGAGCCGTTGGAGTCCAGGATTGAATGTGCTGAGGATGAATTGCACCCTGAGCCCTAATTTTAAGCATTCCTATTTTTATTGAGGAACTTTCCTGCTCACAGCTGTAAGGAAGCTAACGCTAGATAAATGCAGATATACAAGAATCAAACTAAACAGTATTGGTCAAGGCCCAAGATCTGACTTTAGCTTTGAAATTGGCCATCTGGTTTCCCTTTAGCTGCATCTGTGGCTCTCCTGGTGTGGAGGAAGGTAGAAAGCTACCGAAGCAGCTTCCATGAAAGCTCACTCTATCTATCTATCTATCTATCTATCTATCTATCTATCTATCTATCTATACATAAATACATACATACTCCATACAAACAAAAGTCCAGGACCAGAGAGCTTACTCTTTGATAATGAAATTCCCAACAGTTTGCTTAGACTCCTGAGAAATACAGTCAAATGGGAGCATGACCAAAAAACAAGAGAAAAAAACCAACACCTGAGACTTTGGGCCTCTACATGGAATAGGAAGTACAGCAGAGGGGCCCAAAACTCCCTAGGTCAGGATTTTTGTACCTTTTAAGACCCATGGCCTTGGCTCTGTCCACTCCTGGGAAATTCAGAATCTGAGATTCTGATGTGGTGTGGTGAGCTGACTGTGTGTTCTTTTATCTGTTCTATATCACTAGGAAACGAAGGAGATTTAATAGATGTATTTTCTTTTCAAAATTGTGGTCAAATTGTATATCTACCTATTTGTTTGTTTATTTTACTTCCATATCATAAAAATTTCCCGTCATTAAATGTTTTTCAAAAGCATGATTTAAATAACTATATAATATTTCATCATGTGACTAGACCTTCATTTATAACTCATTTTTTTTGTTCAAAATGTAGATGTCTGATTTCTAAAAATAATTTTTGATAATTATTCCGTAAATTTTATGATTGTTCTACAGGGTATCACAATTATAAATAATACTGCAAATAACCTCTTTGCACATAATTATTTGACCACATCTCTGATTGTTTCTTTAGGATAAATTACTAGAATTAGACTACTAGGATGAAGGGCTTAAAATCTGAGAAAAAGTATAACTGATGCTATAGACAGCTTATACAATACAGACATCAGAGGTTGGCAAACCTTGATAAATAAGGGCTTTGTGGGCCAAGAGGCACGATCAAGGCTTTTGTGCAGGTACTTCCATAACCATTTAAAAACTACTCTTAGGTGCTGTGAGATGGCCAAAGTGAAGAGCCATGGCTGACATACTCAGAAATGCCCAATAACGTCTCCAGCCAGATTCTTGCGTTAGGATGTGTGGAGGGGTACCTGAATTTGCATCTCCTCAGCCACATGTTTCCAGTTTGCTCCGTGAGTTTGTAGCATCTTGTGGAAAATAGCAGTATTGAAATGGATAGCCAAATATTTCAGTGATTCCACTTTTAGAAATGAAGAAAAGGTGTAGGAAAACAGAGACCTTCAGATTTATCAAGTGCCATTTCTGAATTTCAGTGCTAATGCATAGAAGGTAAAAAGATTTGGAAGGGACAAGAGGACATTTCTTGACTTTAAGAGAGATGGAAGGAGGGGTCTTTGGAAAAGTCCTTTATGTCATTTTTGTTTCAAATGCATGGCTTGCTTGAACCCCAGCAGAAAAGGGTGGGGAGGGGAAGACAGCTTCAGGATCCCCCCCCCCCCCCCCCCTGCAATGAATACATATGTTTTTGACATTATGTATGTCTCAGCTTCTTGGTGATTTTGTTACACAACCAGCAGAGGAGAGGTATTGCTGGTCTTATATCCCCTGTTTGCTCAGAAAATTAAACAAGAACTTTTCCTGCATTGAATCCTCTTCTCCCGTCTGGCTGCCATGTTTAGAGTTACAGGCAGTATTGAAAACCTCAGGCCTCTGTGTATCTCCCTAAGAGGTCTGCGGGTCACCTAGCCAGGCGGGAGGCCAGGAAGCAACCCCTGAAGCCTCTCTCCTGCCATCCCCTGCAAGCTGCTCTTTGGCCTCTTCCTTTTCCCTTGGCATAGGTCTGAAGGAATTTCAGAGCTATGCGGGAGGGCACAAACATCCAAGCCAGGCTCTGAGGAGACCTGAGGGAGCTTGGACCCACCTTCTAACCCAGGTGTTTGCTCCCATAAGGATGGGATATTCTGCCTAAGAAGGTGTGAGTTCCTGCTAATGCTTTGCATTTGGATATTGTCTTCCTGGGTGGGTAGGTGGATCTCTCTCTCTCTCTCTCTCTCTCTCTCTCTCTCTCTCTCTCTCTCT